AGGGGCTGCAGCTCGCGCCTCTCACTGGGATGATGTATGAACTCACTCTAATTTGCTTCTGAATCAATAAACTTACTATTATTCATAAAAAAAAAACAAACCAATCTTCCAATTCCTATACCAATTTCAGAATTTTTGGGTTATAGGATATTGGTGTTGTTTCAATTATTTATTTATTCTTTAGTTGTTGGTTTCTTAAAAACGTGGTTATGTTTTTTAGATTTTCATTTCAAAATTACTATTTATGGTAACTCTTGGACTTACATCTATAGTAATTCTCGTAATTACTATTTTCAGAAAACTCATGGTTTATTCTTTTTAGTAATTTATGGTGTATTAAGAGTAAGTTTTAGTAGGATTAGAAAAATATTATTAGAGTTTTTTAGGAATTGGAGTCCTTATTTAAGCATCATTATGGGTTACTTATGTGGTTTATCCAAGTGTTATAGCATTAGAAGTGTTTTAGGTCAGTTTCCTAGCCCAAATTGGATTATGTAAAGTGACATCTGAGTTAATAACTTGAGTCTATAATTAGAGTAATTGTAATTGGAGTTGGAGCCTTGGAGAGTTGATTTGAAGACATAAAGATTGGTGTATTGAATTCTTGTTGCCAAAAGTTTCTCTTTTTTCCCCTCTCTCTCAGGTTATTATTTCTTGGCCAGAGGAGTTGGACCCCTCTGAACCAGACAAAAGGATCTGGTCCTCTCAGCCCTCCAGTATTTTCTCTTGTGCTTCCTTTTCTAAATCCCTTTGCTGGTCTTCGTTTCAACAGATTTTTCCTGTCAAGGAGATTTGTTATGTTTGTGCCTTGAATTCCTTGTGGCGACTCGCTTCATGAATCCGCTCCGAATTAATTTGAGAAAAAACCTGAAGGCAAATTTTCATAGTGGTTTGTGGTGGATGCGTAGCCCGACCCGTATTCATCTTATAGGTCCGAACCAAATATGAAGAGTTATGTATTTCGGGGGTTTTCTCTCTTCTACACTGAGCTTGAGTCTTGTAAGAGACGAATGAGACATTGGGTGTATTTGGGGCTTAAGGTTTTCTATGAGAGCACAACTCTGTATTTCTTCTCCATTACCTACTTCATAGTGGATTCTGTTCCTCCTTCACCCGTGGACGTTGGCTATCAGCCGAACCACGTAAATCTGTGTGTTCTCTGTGCTTGTTTCTCTTTATCTCTGTTTTACTTTCATCTTGAGTGCCATTTTGAATCTGTTTCCTTGGTTTTTTGTTTTTTTTGCAACAAACTGGTATTAGAGCCCTATTTTCGTTTGGCACTTTTAATGCCATCGATGAAGTTTGATATTGAGAAGTTCGATGGAAGCATCAGTTTCAGTATTTGGCAAGTTAAGATGCATGCCATTTTGGGACAAGACGGACTATATAAAGCTCTATACGGAAAGGAGAAGAAACCTGCAACTATGAGTGATGAAGAATGGGAGGAGTTAGATTTTAAAGCCCTAATCACGATTCAGTTTCTACTATCAAACGAAGTTTTGTGGGAAGTCGTTCATGAGAAGACTGCTGCGTGTTTGTGGCAACAGTTGGAGTCTCTATACTTGTTTGCTTGAAAAGCAAACAAGAAAACAGGTCAAGCGGTTGAGAACATATAATGGTTTAGAGTTTTGTGAAAATGAATTTAATGAGTTTTGCAAAAATAAAAGCATTTTAAGGCATCGTACTGTTGTCAAAACACCATAGCAGAATGGAGTTGCAGAACGTATGAATTGAACTCTACTAGTGAGAGTAGGGTGCATGCTGTCAAATACTGGGCTCTCAAAGGATTTTTGGGCAGAAGCAGTTAATATGGCTTGTCACCTGGTAAATCGATCTCCATCTACAACCATTGAATGTAAGGCTCCAGAAGAGGTATGGTCTGGCAACCCTCCTAATTATTCAAATTTGAAAATATTTGGTTGTCCAGCATATGCACATGTTAATGAAGGCAAGCTTGAGCCTAGGGCCAAGAAGTGCATATTTCTTGGTTATGCTTCAGGTGTGAAGGGATACAGATTGTGGTGTCCTGATCCTAATTTAATAAATTATTTTCATTCATAAAAAAAAGGTGGAGTTAGAAGTTAAAAGTGCTTCCTCACCTTAGTTTACATCAGTCCAGGTGCCCATTTCTACTGAGATAAAAGAACATGTACAAGAGGAAGAAGAGGAGGAACAATATTCTATTGTTAGAGGCAGAACAAGGAGAGAGATTAGACCACCCCAGAGATTTGGTTATGCTAATCTGGTTGCCTATGCATTGTCAGTTGCAGAGAATGTTGATGTTACAGAACCCAATACTTATGTAGAAGCTATCTCATTTGTTAATTTTGCTAAGTGGTTGACAGCTATGCATGAAGAGATTGAATCCTTGCATAAGAACCAGACTTGGGAGTTGGTAAGACCACCTAAAGGAAAGAAGATTGTTGGATGCAAATGGGTTTTCAAAAGAAAAAAAGGTACTCCGGGTGTAGAGGATGCTAGATATAAGGCACGATTAGTTGAAAAAGGTTACAGTCAGGTACAAGGTGTTGATTTTAATGATGTTTTGTCACCAGTTGTTAGACATAGCTCCATTCGTGTTTTTCTTGCTTTGGTTGTCATGCATAATTTAGAATTAGAATAGTTAGATGTTAAAACTGCTTTCTTGCATGGATAACTTGATGTATAGATTTATATGCATCAACCTGAGGGTTTTGTTGTTGAAGGGATGGAAGACCATGTTTGTTTGTTAAAGAAATCTCTATACAGCTTAAAATAGTCTCCTAGACAATGGTATAGAAGATTTGACTCTTTTATGGTGGCTCTTGGGTATTCTAGATGCAAGTATGATAGTTGTGTTTATTTCAAGAAACTTGCAGATGATTCTTTTGTTTACTTGTTGCTTTATGTTGATGATATGCTTATTGCAACAAGAGAAATATCTAAGATCAATAGATTAAAAACACAGTTGAACAGTGAGTTTGAAATAAAAGATTTGGGTGCAGCAAAGAAAATTCTTGGCATGGAGTTTCCGAGAGACCGAAAAGTAGGGAAGTTGTATTTGACACAACAGAAGTATATTGAAAAGGTCTTAGAGCGCTTTGGCATGAAAGATGCTAAGCCAGTAAGTACTCCTATTGTAGCCCAATTCAGACTTTCAACAAATTTGTCACCACAGACAGATGAAGAGGAAAAATATATGTCACCTGTCCCCTACTCTAGTGCAGTTGGGAGTATTATGTATGCCATGGTTTGCACACGACTTGACATTTCACATGCAGTTAGTATGGTGAGCAGATATATGTCATGTCCTAACAAGACACATTGGCAGGCAGTGAAGTGGATTCTCAGATACTTGAAAGGTACATCAAATACTTGTTTGGAGTTTGGAAGTAGTGACAGTTTGATGGGTTATGTTGATTCAGATTATGCAGGTGATCTTGATAGGAGAAGATCACTCATAGGTTATGCATTTTCTATTGGTGGTTGTGCTGTTAATTGGAAAGCTACTTTACAGTCTACAGTTGCTTTATCTACTACTGAAGTTGAGTATATGGCAATGACTGAAGCAGTTAAAGAAGCTATTTGGTTGAGAGGTTTGTTTGATGAACTCAGTTTGGGTCCAAAGGTGACTGTTGTTTATTGTGATAGTCAGAGTGCTATCCATCTGACTAAGGATCAAATGTACCATGAGAGGACGAAAGACATTGATGTGAGGTACCATTTTGTTTGTGATGTTGTAGAACAAGGAGATATCATTGTGAAGAAGATTGGTACTGTAGATAACCCAGCTGATATGTTAACAAAGCTTCTTCCTGTGGCTAAGTTCAAGCATTGCTTAGACTTGATTGGTATTTACAGCATTTGAGTTTCCCCATTGGGGCTTTTGTTGGAGAAGGTGGAGGGAGATTACTATTCTGTGATGCTTGAGATAATTCAAGCCATGGTAGAGATTTGTTATGTTTGTGCCTTGAATTCCTTGTGGCGACCCGCTTCATGAATCCTCTCCGAATTAATTTGAGAAAAAACCCGAAGGCAAATTTTCATAGTGGTTTGTGGTGGATGCGTAGGGCTTGGGTCGCACCACGTAAATCTGTGTGTTCTTTGTGCTTGTTTCTCTTTATCTCTGTTTTACTTTCATCTTGAGTGCCATTTCAAATCTGTTTTCTTGGGTTTTTTCTGCAACAGGTTTGGTGCAGGCCTATTCCCCCCAAGGTTTCGGCATTCTATTGGGAAGTGTTCTATGGGAAAGTAAGCACCTTGGATAATCTACAAAAGAGAAGACCTTTTCTTTGCATCCCTCCTAACTGGTGTACTCTTTGCAGATCTCATGGTGAGGATTGTTGTCATGTACTAAACCAGTTAATGTAGAATTATGGGATCAGCTTTTCTTGATCTTTGGGTGCAGGTGGAATAAGCCAGCAGAAGTAAGCATGCTTTTTGATCTGTCTACCTTTGTTTGGCGATATTGAAGAGGAATCATAATGTGGAGGTGTGCAAGAGCAGCTCTGATATGGACAGTGTGGGAAGGAACGCAAAGATTTCCCAAGAGAAGGAGAATAGTCTACAAGAATTGAAGGAGTGTGTTTTGTATGTATATGGCTATATTGCAGCTGAAACCTCTGGTTCTTTTCATCAGTTTTCCTTTATGATCTTTGGAGGAGTTGGGCAGTAGTGGCAAGCTCCTCCTCCCCGAAGAAGAGCATGTGTTTGAGTTGGGCACTCCCTGCTGAAAGGCTTTATGAATCTAAATTTTGATGGTAGTAGCCAAGGCAATCCAGGTCCCTCTGGGATGGGAGGGGTTATAAGGAATGAAAGTGGAAATGTGGTCGTCTTATACTCAGTCCCCTTAGGGGTGGGGGACTCCACTAGGGCAGAATTATTAGCTGCCCTTCAAGGGGTGCAGTTTGCAATACAACTAGGAGTGGAACAACTACTAATAGGAGACTCCAAAGTGGTTGTGGGGTTGTTACAGAAACCAGAGTCAGTGGTGTGGTGTTTTAAGAATGAACTTAAGAAATTCAAGTGGTTGACAAGAGGTTTGTGTGTTCGAATATGTTGGGTGGGGAGATCAACAAATGCTATGGCTGATGGTTTAGCCAAGCAAGGGGAAAACAGGGAACAATTGTATTGGGCATCTTCTCAATTCTTTTCACAATTGTCGACAGAGAGATAGTACACAAGGAGATTAACTAGGGTAGACTTGATAAAATTGGAAAGAAAAATGCATGTGTTGGACTAATCATTGATCTTTATAGTTGAAATGTCAAATCGGGCGTTTCAGGTAGACACAACAATTTCTATTGATCAACCAAAATGTTTCAGGTAGAAAAAAAATCCTCGCATAAATTCATATTGATCAACCCAAAACATTTTCAGGTAGAAACATCAATGCTACCAAACACAACTAATGCATGCCCTATGGTCAGAGCTTCTGTTTTGTCTTCTGTTAGTTTTTTATTTTGTTTTCATTTATTTATTTATTTCTTTACCTGGTTTTTTCCTTTTGTTTGTACAGGTCCCTCTAAAGAGGGAAAATGGTCAAACAACCATGGTTCCTCTTTTTCAAAACAAGGAAAACATTGTTGGGGAGGTATTTCTAGTATTATGGATATTTGTTCTTTTTTTCAAATTTAGAAATGGTATTGAAATACTCACTCATGGTTATTTAGGTTAAATAATTAGGATGCTGAGAAGTTCTTATTATGTGGTATCACATGTAGGTTTCTATAGAACCAACTCAAGGGAAGAAGGTTGAACACAATGGAGTGAAAATTGAGCTACTTGGTCAGATAGGTATGCTTATTTGCTTTTGTTTTTTTTTCTTGATTGATGATAAATAAATCTTGTGATAATTTTTGCCTAAGCCAAATAAGGGGTTAATAGGGCAGAATTGTATTGGGCTCATTTGTGACCTGTGCCGGGGGGGGGGGCGCAAAGCACATGGGAATATAGATGTGGTAAGTGTACAGGGCTGTTGAATACATTGTACATATTGCATTCTTTTTTTATTTATCGATAAAATGAAAAAGACACTACAGGTTCCATAATGGAGTTCGTGCAAGCAGGTTGGTGGAGGAGATCCTTGAAGATAGAAGCAAAATATTTTCTGTTTGAAGAGATGAGAATCAAGGGGAAGGTAAGTCTGAAGGTAAGAAGTGAAAAAGGGTACAATAATGCTGGAAGGATTAGAAGTGATTGAGTGGCTAAGAGATTTGACAGCTGGAGCCTGTTCAAAAGGTAAGCAGATAAACTGGCAGGATTTTAGAACATTAGAAGGGAGAAGGTATGTAGTTGAATATAAGAGGAATAGAAAAGGCTCCTTCATAGCTTTGTCTGAATATTTTGGTAAGGGACGAAGGCAACTGGTGTGTCTACCAGGAGGGAAATAGAGACAAGGTTGGGGGTAAGTTGACTGGTTGCTTAAAGAGTTTTTAGCTCAAAGAGTAGCAAATGATAGAAAAGCCTCCATAAGGGAGGAGAAGGCATATCTTAGCAACAATAGGGTAGAACACGGGCTAGTGGTCATGGCAAAAACAAAAGGCCAATGCAGAATGGTAGGAGGTCTACAGAGAGAAGAGTGGGACAGTAAGTTTGTGATACAAACCAAGGAAAAGGTTAATGATTGGAGGAGGGTAGCTGACTTACTGACAACCAGTTTGAAGTTGAAGAGTGTCTTCATAGTAACCCCCTTCGATAACTGTAAAGCCTTTCTAGATCCAGTAGATAATGAACTGGAAATATCAGCTATCAATATTCAGGCTGATTTCGGATCATTCAGTTTTTAAATGGAATCCAACATCCAACTCCAAGGATTTCTTTGTTGAAGATGGTGTGGTGGTGTGTGTAATAGGCTTGCCATTTCATCTGTGGAAACAAGAAGTAGCAGAATCTATAGCATTATTGTGTGGAGGAAACTTGGAAGGAGCTTTCTGGGGTGATCTTTATTCAGTAGTAATCCTGCTAAGTGGTGTGAAGCCAGAAGACATTCCACAAAAGGTAGGTAAGAACATAGGGGAGTTTTGTTTCTGTTTGGCTAGCATCCTCCATTGAAGCAGGGCTGTGGAAGGAGGTGAGAAGGAAGAAGAAGCATTACGTGGACTTGTGAGATTGGTTAATTCAAATGGGAAGGAATCTTTCACTAAAAAGGGCCAACAATTTCTAGGAAGCCAAAAAGTTTTGGGGCAGATGGAAGGTCAAACCTGTAAAAAGAAAGAAAAAAGAGGATGTTTTAAACACTTGGGGAAAGTCAGCATGGTAGGGTGGGTTGAGGGATGGTAGGTTCTATGCTCAGTCGGTGACAGGGGAATTAATTGGAGATAGGCTTGCTTTAGTTCAAATTGAGTGGTTGGGCCCTGGCCCATCAGGACCTAATGGGTCTGGTCAAGTGAATGGGCCAACTAATTTAAATCGGGTGGACCCAGAACTTAAAAAGCCACGCACCCTTTTAAGTGAGCACGTGACCAAGGGAGATGGGGAGATGATGGACTGAAAAGTTGGTTTATCACCATCTCCCTTGAGAAATTCGCAACCGGTGCCTGAAGGAGGTAGGGTTTGTTGCAATGGTGCGCCAAATCTGAACTGGGCATGGGTCCCAAGCTTGAAGAAAAAGGGCTTCTCTCTGGAACGATGCAATCTGAGGTTCAAGAAGCATCATTTGACGACAGTGGAGATAGGGTTCTCCCTCTTTCTGGCGACAAAAAATCAGAATACCAAGGATGCATTTGAGGACTGCGAACAGAGGAAGTAGCTCAGATTCAGAGTTTGAAGGCTTAGCAAGTATTGGAAGTGTAGAACTGAAAAAAGCCAAGCCCCTTAGCGATAATGAGAGCCTACATACTGAGTTACTTTTTCTGGAAGACGGCGACTCAGATTTAAAAGACTCAGTTCAGGAAAAGCTTACTCAACCTTCTGAAGGGATGAGAGATCTATCATATGGATGGCCGAACCCTACAGGTAGGTTGGGCAAAATTTCAAAAATTTCTCTCTCACCCATATGGGAATCACATTCCCTGTTTTAGAAAACTTTATTTTCAAGGATCAATATTGAACCTAAACCGAACCAGATCTGAAACCAAAAGGTAGGAGAGGGATATACCTGATACGGAGTAGCAGTAACTCTCAACGAAGGTGTTCACACCCAAGGAAAACGCCAAAGACTGCTCCCACTGAAGATGACACAACACAGGGTGGAGCAGAATCAGCAGGTGGTTCTTCAGCAAGAACCAAACTCTTCAGCAAGAATTCGATGGAGGGTGAGTGAGCACGACTTCAGATCAGTTTTTACCAAAAACTGATATCAAGAACCTTTCTTGATCACTCCTATTGGTGGAGAACGAACTGGCAATGGTGGCAGCAATAGAAGGAGGCAAGAATAGAAGATGGCATCAGTCTAACTGGAGCTGTCTTCTCTCTTGGATCTGTAATCAGATTGTATGCTGAAGGGTTTGCCCTCCTCCTTTATTTATAGCCTTAAACAGAAGTCCTCCTAATCCCATTAGGAGTTTCCTAATCCAAATCTTGTATTTGGATTTGGACTCTATTTAAGAAATAAGGATAATCCCTTATCTTATCTGCAAATAAAGATCAACCCTCCTAGTCTTATTAGGAGTTTCCTAATCCAAATCTTTACTTGGATCTGGACTCTCTGAGTGGATAGGGATAACTCCCTATCCTATTTGTTGATCTAAATCCCAGWACCACCCCTCTTTAATTAATCATATTAAACCAATTCGAATTGGGCTTTAGGCCCATTAAGTCCATGTGCTCGTTTAGCCTCCAAACTGTTGCCTAGTTGGGTATCCTTGTATGGCGTGGGACCCAAACATTGATCTACACATCAGCCACATGGGTTCAACCCAACCTCTGTTACAAGGCCTGGCCGAATTCACTGTAGGAGACAGTGAACCCCTGAGCCCATCACCATGGGCTCTTAATGGGCCCAACACTTACACTAAGTGATCCCTGGGCCAAACCACCTTATAAAA